TGACTCGCCTTCATTCATCCGTATCCGTCCGGCGTACTCGTACACCCTTTTTTACTCAATAGCTTACTTCGTATTGCTAAAATTGGTAACACCTTCATCTGTCTCCATTTCAGAGTTATGTGAAAATGTCCGAGGCAGCTTTGAACGCACTCACTTCTGCAGGTTTGTCGGAGATCGGAATGGAGTCCAAGGCTACCCCGAGTAGTTCACGATGGTCTTCCTCGGCTGCTTATTATGACAGTCCCCGAGTCGAAAAAGGTAAGCAGATTGTGCAACCTTTAAATTTATATGATTGGTATCGTCGTCAAGTTTGGTCTCATTTGTGAGATACCCCCATTTATATCGTCTTACAGTCTGTTGTGCCCTCGTTAACTCGTCCTAGGAAAAGACCTGTTCAGATATCCAAACGGAACTGTTCCACATTGCCTTCATTTGATAAACAGTAGTTATCTACAAATAAATCAACTTTGTTACTTAGCCAACCGCACTCTTTTTGGCAGTGGATTTTCTCATGAAATTTGTTTCCAAGCTGGAAAATGTTACGCGTTTGCCGGCTTATTACCTGGTGGAGAACGTCATCAGTAGCCTGACTGTATCCACAAGGCAATGGGGTAAATGCTTCCAGTCTTTTATTTTCTAGTTCTCCGGCTTTCTCACAGCAAACTACTGGAAATGCAAAATTACCAAGAACCATCATTCCAAGCAGCTACATTCTTGCGCGCCCACTTGTTTCAACCCTATCAGGTTTTATGACTAGTACTTATACAATACACGAGCAATCTGCAGCGACTTTTCTATCGATCAGAATACTCTCGTTTGGACCGAAATCTTTCTGTCAAGGTCTTAGTCAACTACGAAGACCCGGGGTACAAATCACTTTGAGACTGTTTACCGACTGATAACAGAATAAAATTTTGTGGATTACATTCAGAACTTATTAGTATCCGACAAACTCAGTGCTAGTCGTGGTCAAATCAGGGGATAGCGCAGTGATCGTACACAAGCCCATTATGCGACGGATCTCGAAACCACTAATGTGCCCCACTGAGATGGAAACTCGAGTTTGCAAGCCCGGAGTGTGTAGGATGAACTGCACTAAGCTAGGACTGCGCATGCAGCTGAGACCTGAAATCTAGTCAGCTATCAAGCTTGCAAGTAGTAGTGAATTGAGATGTATGTAATCGCCAAACATCAACGTGTATGTTGTTCTCCGTAATGGATGATTTTCCAAAAGGTCCTTAGTTTTTGTTTATGATAATGCCCATGTCCCGAATGCGCCACCTGTTGACTGCATACATTGACTAACTAGCTGTTCAACCAATCCGACCACACAAAAGCTAACCCACTCCAATGCGGGCTTATTTTACTGAAAGGCCAAAAAGTCGGCACCTTGAATGTGTTCATTCTACACTGGTTCTTTATCTCTCTCTCTCTCTCTCTCGAAAAATTCAGGTGCTAACCTCATACAAGTACCGACTAGCTAACTAGCTTTAAAACAGATATTCAATTAGATACACAAAGTGTGACTTTTACATGTGACACGTTGTTCGAATTTGTAGGTGGACCTTATTTGTTTTTTTTTGTTGTGTCGCTTCTTGATTTGGAAACTGCGTTCAGAAAAGGGGGTGGAAACTAAAGAAAAAATGGCGTCAAAATCGATGGATTACAACTAACTGTAACCCGGTGGTGTTGAATGTCGACTGGAACGCATGGTGAACACTCCGTGTGCTCCCATAGTTGTTAGAAGAAGAGGATTGTAATATGGTACCTGTTGAGATAATCTTCGAACATTGATATGGGCTCTTTTCCGAGTTATTCAGTTTTTGATTATAAGCGAATAACAGCTGCATCATACTGGTCGATGGAAACGAACATCCTTGCGTTAAATGAAAGATGCATTTTTAGCGAACATAGTTTTTTTTAATTTTTTGCGGCTTTGCTCGAACGGTATCGACCGTTTTCTTGCGCTCTCATAGTTCATGAGCCTTGTGACCATCTCTCTGATTTCCCATTTTTATTGTTTGGCAGCCTCTACTTGGTCATGGCTCACTTCCTGAGTAGTATTAACTATTATAAAGAGATTAGTGTTAATTCATTGAAAACAGGCAAAAAAAAAAAAATCGAATTCGTTAATCTGGTCAGAAGAAATGTACATTATGCATCACTTTTTTCTGGTATCCAAAAGGTATCTCCGTGAGATCTGGTTCACATTTAGGTCTTATTGGCGGTGCTCAGTTTTACTCGTTCGTTTGTTCTCGCACCGTTCCGTTTCACTCCGTTATTATCACATTCCAGTCATTCCCATGCTTCGCTAATTAGACCCATACTTGGTATCACATTGACTAGCCCACTGCTGTTCAGCCAGATGTTCTGACGACAAGGGTTTTCAAGTCACAACGGGTAACTGATTGGCTAGGCAGTCATGACCAGTTGTCACCAGTACCCGACACTGTCGAGAAGTCGGAATGAAACCCCCTACTACAATAAACCTGATCTGTCCGTGGGCATCATCATCATTATCTATATGGATTGGGTCAGCCACTAACCAAGAACGTTGCTATCGTCCTGTTGATTTGTCGGTAGCCTGGGGCTTGTACGACTTCAGTTGGTATGGGAACTATCACTACGTGTTAACCTGTAATATTACACAGAAATTCCCACCGACGAAATGGACATGAAGTACTGTAGTCTTGAATTCACGTGGCTTATTCTCATGGTGTTAGCGATTAGCTGGTAGGTGCATCAGTCGTTGGGCTATTCATCACGCTTATGACTTTGAGGCAGTCGGAGGCTGATAATCATTGTACTAATCATAAGATATGTTGCTAACCACCATTCATCTCTAACGCTTGGGGAGAAGTTCTGGTCAAACGGAAGGTTTTGTGAAGAACACATCCTTGTGATGTTTTTACTTGATCCTTCTCTCTTACGCCTGATGAGCATTGCTTACACCAAGTTACAGACTTAACGCGGACTGTATTAAGCCGTTTATTTACTTTCTTTTTTTCTAGATGCTCATCCTATTGGTGATCTGTCATCAGGTCCCATGTCTCGTGTCACCAACACAAAAACTACCCTCACACCTTTAACTGGTATCCAACCTCCAGCTGCGCATGTGCACAATTCTACGACAAGCCTGATAACACCATCCATCACAGCCACCCCAACAACAGCCCCCAGCGTGTTAAATATCCCCAATTCCGATCTCTCCTCGTTCCCTGTGCCCGGCAATTTGTACACTAATCCCGCTGACCGTTCTTATACTGCTTACCAGCCCGGTTGCACTCTGAATGGGGATCAGCTTACCGTACCACCTGCAGCACACACAGGGGCGAAAGACCTATCGAACAAATTACCAGTTCTGCCATCTGTTTCCGCCTCCCTCGATCCGCACCAACCGTACTATCCTAATCCAGGTCTCTGTCCGTACATCTCGACTCCGTGGCCTGCAAATATGAATCCGGCTGCTGTGGGAGTGGACACTACTCCATGGGCCGCATTGAACAAACCAATGGGATTGATGTCATCACCCGCCTTCATGTTAGGCACACCGGGAATGACTTCATTGAATCCTGTCGTGGTAAGTGTGCATTCTGATTGCTACTTGAAGTTTCCGAATCACCTGCTTACTTACTTTCCATGATGTGTCCACCTTTTCGTGAACGTTGATGAGGATCCAGTGTTTGTGATGTAATTGAGACACCGAGTGAGAAAGTATGCAAATGGGTAATGCTTGAAAGTCCGAAGTGAATACGTCCGGTCGACTCATTTGCACAATCCTTTGATGACGCAGCTGCATCCGTGGAGCACTTGTACCAAATAGGCTGAAGTAGCCCAAATCGGAACTTATTCTGAAGTGTTTATTCATTCGTTTCTTGTTACGTGCATAGTCAGTTGCGTGTTGGAGTAAAGGAAAGGCGAATCGCGTGGTTAAATTTGTAATTTGATATTGATATGGAAGATGTAGTGGTTGATTGTTCACAAAGAGCTGTACCATGAACCTTGTGGTTCTACCTTTAAAGGTAAATTGGTGCCTATCACCAAGACCTGGAAACCGGGTTTTTAATCAGTTTCGCAATCAGCATTCCATTACGATTGGTCGACTCATGACAAACGTTCGTTTATATCGAATTGAAATGCAGTTAGAGGTCGCAGAACGGAAACAGTTGTGATTAATCGGTTTGCCGTGATTATCGGGTANAGATATGCCAAGTGACAGTAATAGCCAATTAGAGAATCGATCAGTTGATTGGTAAGCTTGCATGTATGATTCATAATCCAATCATATAACTTGTGCATGCGTGTGTGTTTAAAAAGTTGATTTTTTTAAATAAACGGCTTGAAGGAATACAGCAAGCTGCTTCATTTGAATTGCAATCCCACAGTTCACCCCCGACTGAGGCTCCTCATAAAATAGAGATGAAATCAAAAGCACATCCTAATTATAGCAGCCCAAAGAATATCATTGAAACCAAACTGTAAAAGGGAACTCAGCTCAGCTTCC